TGCGCCTCGCGTGCGCTTGACACTTGCGTCATGTAATAGACTCTTCCTTCTGTTTTTTTAAATAATTTACATCATGTAATAGACTCTTTATTACTAGTTGCTAATCCATTCTCCATCTTTTCATGTTTAACCTATAAAAAAACAATAATTAATAATTTAGTATACGTGTTTGCTAATTGTAACTTCCTTCTCTAATTAGCATGCTAACTAAAAAATTATGAATATGTAATATGTAATTGTTACCTTCATTCTCTATATTTTCATGCTAACTAGCAAATAGCAATTAAGAATGCTAACTAAAAAATTATGAACAATCATATTTTTTAATCACTTAATTGTTACTTAAAAAAACATATATCATATTTTAAATAAAAATATATATTTCTTATTTGTTACTTGCTTGTTTTGTTTCATAGACTTTTGCTTATGTTGAAGATTATCTTGCATTGTGATTTGTGAAAACTTATGAACTTCTCTATGTTATGCATGTTAATTAAGACTCTTTCGTGATTTAGTCGGTGAAATTATACTTCTTGGTTTTTTATGTGACAATTTATAAACATGTTGCTTATATGCTTCTTTGTCTTATGTTAAAAAATATTAGTTTGAATTGTGCGTCTCAATTCAGTGAGGCGTGCGCATCGTTGTGCGCCTTGCGCATGGTGCGCGTAAGAGGCATTTGCGCCCCGCATTACGCCTTGCGTCTCGATAACAATGATGCTTGGTACCAAGCACAAATTTTATACTTGGTAGTGAGGTGGCACACCCCCCTCCACTCATTCAAATGGGGGGACCACATTCACATAGGTTGAGGAGTGCATAGGGATATGCAACCATTTGAATGAGTGAAGAGGGATGTGACACCTCACTACAACTTTTTGTGCTTAGGGGGTGTTTGGTTGCATTGTTTTTGAGAAATGTTTTCTCAAAAGTACTGACGCATGGCATTTATGTAATTAAGAGTTTTCTATACATTTCTATAAACTGTGTTTGGCTCCAAAAAAATTTACAGAAATATTTTCTGTAAAGCGCCCAAAAGTACCAAATTTTATGGAAATTGATTTCCTTCTAAAATAAGAGGAAATCTCTTGGAAATCTGACGCATTCATTATTTAAATAATAAAATTCATTAACTCTTTTCTACAAAGTTCTCACTTTTCTATAAAGTTGGTGGTGTTTGGTTACATTTCTATAAATTATAGGAAATGTTGCTATTTTCCCAAAAGTTATTTCTCATTTTCTTGTTTTGAACCAAACAAGCACAATACAAAAAATAAGAAAATATATATATATATATATATATGTGTGTGTGTGTGTGTGTGTGTGTGAGTGCGCGCGCGCGCATATGTATATGTATATATGTATATATGCATATGTATCATTATTTTAAATATCCCCGACATGCCCCGATATATCCTTTTACAAGGTTTGCCGCAACCGATATGATTTCTAAATATCCTTCACCGCTCTTTGGCTATTTTGGGCGATATACCCCCGATATGGCTGATATATAGGCCGATATGTGGACTGATATATCTTTTTATATGGCTTTTTACAAGACAACATACCGTGATTAGCAATTTTTGGGCGAGATATTATGATTTTTTTCCTATTATATCAAATGACATTTTCCCCAATAAACCAGATTAAATGTTGCACCGTTGACTTGTACTTTTGTTTGTTTTACAAGGTTGAATAGTGATCCTAAACATATATTATTTACATTTGATATGCTTAGATTTCATTAAGTATGTTCGGATTACATTTTAGTGCATTATACTATATATAAAAATATCCGTTATGGCATTCCGATATTTACCACATATCCCCGATATTTCTCCGATATCCGCAATCCGATATAAATTTTGGTCATTCGATATTTTCCCGATATCCGATATTTAAAACCTTGATGTGTATACATGTATGTATATATATGTGTGTGTGTATTAATGAGCGTATAAGTATGTGTATAAATGAGCATATGCGTACATACAAGCTGCTTTCTTTTCTCTCTTTAAGGCTCTTCCCAAACAAAGAAAAAACAAGTGCCTACATGATACTGAAAAAGGATGCATTTTCGCAAAAAATACAGAAACCATGCTATTATCCTCATACAAGGAAATTTTTTTGGGACCCACTACTATTTCACGATGTATAATTCGTCTACAAATCATAAGCATTCAAATGCGTCTAGCTCTCCTGTGAACATGAACGCTACCAACATTCTAATGATGATTAGAATACGAACTACTAAATCTTACTGGTAAATCACATATAATTGTTCATTTTTCCGGTTTCCACTTTAGAGACACAAGAACAAGTCTAACATAACCCACAACTTTATTTCCTACGTTACGTTAAAAAGCACACTGGAGTTTAATAAAAGCAATGTGATTCCTCAATGAAATAAGAGACACAAGTATTGAGTTATCAATCCCACACCTCTAACATTCAGATACAATCACATTTACCTTGGGATCGCGAAGATAGTGAACAATTTCTTCCAATTCAGCTTTAGCCTCATCTACACCCTTCACATCATTAAATTTAGTACTGGAATCCATAATTGGCTGCACTTCTTCTTGTAGACCAAGACCTGTGATGGCCAGCAGGCTGAAACGTTAAAATCTACTAGAACCTGAAAACCGACTTTTCAAATTCATACAAGGAAGCAGCTAACATATCTGAAGACAGAACAGACCTTTGCCAAATCCTTTATCCTCAATAAGTGCACCAACACCAGAAATCACAATAAAAGCAAGTGCGATACTACGAACAGTTTTCCACAACTGTTCCTTGAACTGACCACCTTCTGATGTCACCATGTGAATTGGAGCAGCGGCAGTCCCAAGAGTTCCTTCCTTGGTCATCTGGCCAACATTCTTTAGAGCTGGTACAGTGGTGTAAGCCTCATCCTTTGATGTACTAGCGATCCCTACCCATTATCATATGAATCAAGGACTCACACAGTTGATTAATCATATAATACATAGAGGAAAGAACTAGCAACTCTACAACAGTATCATCAATATCATCATCTAAGCCATCTTCCATTAAACTAGAGTCAACCATGGAATAAGGCTGAAGAAGTTTTGCATTTATGTTTGGCCTATTGTCAACTTCGTCTATTTAGTTCCAAGTGCCAAATTCATGACCAAGTTGTAGACTGCCAAAGGAGCTGATAAAGAAAAAAGAGGATAATACTTGTGTAGGCGTTCCTCACTCCACAACTTTAATTTCAAGTTTTAACTAATAAACTAATTACTGATTTCAGCCACAGCAGATACCAGTCTCTCACATGCTCAAAGGAAAGGAAAGAGAGGAAAGGAAATTAAATAACTACAGCCAGCACCCACAAAATAGTAGTGAACAAAACTGTTATAGTAAAATACTGAACACCATACATGATTGAAGCTATAAATTATCAAGCCATGACACAGATATAATTTAACATTTTTAAATTTATTTGTATAATTGTATTTCCTCTCTTACCACATTTACAACTTCTCAACTAGCTCACTAGAGTTATTTAAAAAAAAAAGTTACTAGGAACATTATTACAACCCCATCCTTGGCTTTTCTCCAGCATCTAATGGCGTTAAACTTTCCGTCACACAAAATGTCACATCAATACATGTGCTTAGAAATGTAAATTTTTGCAGCTACCCTTTCCCTTCCTCCTCAGATCTCTAATAATTAAAACGAAGAAATTGAGATATTTGTAGCAGCAAAAAAGATATCAGAGCATTTTATCTTGGAACTTAGCTCACAAGCTTATAACGCAAAACATGAAGATGTTTTATGAAGCTATTTTGCTTCCATCAGCCCTTAAAATAAAAACAAAAATTAATAGCAAATATAATTGTTGTCGCCTCCTAATCCTTTCCCTAGTGGGAATCAGGAACACTCCTCAAGTTGCATTAACTTGAACCGCATAACCAAGAGAGTAGTCTTATCTACCAGCAACCTAGCATCACCCATTATCCGCATAGTTTCATCAAGTAATACAGCACAATTGAAAAGTTGACTCAAGAGAGAGGAACCCCAATAGCTAAACACATGCTTACGCGACAAAGGGGTTAAGTGATGGACACGCTCTTGCTGACAAGGTTTAAAATGTGACAGCAAAACGGAGAAAATAATTAGCTAGGAACCTGATAACTGAGCAAGATAATGAATGATATATTACTAGTTATTTGGTATTTCTGTGGCTTCAAGTACTAGTGAATCAGATTAAGATATTAATGGAACAAGATATCTACATAAGACCATATCCATAGATAATGGTCATGCATGTTCTCTACGTAAAGTTCGGGTCCTTCCAAGATATTATTGAGGTCTTCTCTAGATATTGCTGAAATCAGACTATTTGACAGTAACTTATCAGAAAATTACTATTAATATAATGAAGGTAATTTGATGACCAAACTCCAAGAAGCTAGTACAAATTGATATTTTCCATGATGTTTTTTATGACAAATGCTGCTGTAAGATATACAATTCCAACAAGAGAACTCCATAAATGAGCAGTATAAGTTAAATGTATCACAAAGGACACAGTAGAATTTGTTGTTGATGAACATAGAAAATTGTGTATACAATATTTTACATAGTTCAGCATCAGCATTTAGCCACAGATATTATCAAGTGCTTTTCTTTCATGCTAAAAAAATGCTGAAATCACCTCGGATGAACATACTAATGAAATAATATATTTACCCTTTAATTACCTTTCCTCAGTGTGCTCAGCAACTGACTTCCATCCAGCTTATCAACCTTGACTAAAGCTTTTACATACTCGGACAATGCTGAAGGATTAGAATGCAATGAAGGCTGGCTCTCAAAGAGTCTAATAACTCTTTCTGGATCATTTCTAATTTCTTTTGGTATTGCACTGCCAACATAACTTGACTGAGACCTTTCCTGCAAATTTCTATATCCATTTGCGATCCTATGGAAGGTGAGACGAGATTGAGAATGACCACTTAAATCAACAAAATTTGGATGCTCCAGCTGCTGTTTCACCGTCTATTCAAAGCAAAAGCAAACAAAATATTAAGTGTAACACATACAAGGAGCTGTAAAAGGCTGAGTTCCCCTGTGCTAGGAGGATCATGAAAGGAATTGCATTGTGCAGCCACTTTGCACTAATCAGTTCTTTGTATATCTAATGAATTTTGACTTTGGCAAGGGCACGATTATCAGAAACGCTCCTTTGTGGCTAAACCCTATTTTTCTCGCGCCATGCCCGAAGAAAAGGTAAAATTGATGCCAGGGTTTATCAATTGCCAATATTTCTATAATTTAACAAAAACGTCGCCAGAAAGACGAACTTTTTGAAAAAGCCCTAACCCATGGTGGCTCAATAAACCCTAGAAATTCAAAGACCAGACAGAAATTGCAACTTTTTGTAAATTCAAGGACAAATCGACACATACAAGGTTGAATCACTAATATAAAGCTCGAAGAAATGAAATCAATGGTAAGATCAAATGATACCTTAGTTAGGATTCGCCTCCAAGCCATAAATGCTCCCCTCTAGATCAAAGACGAGAAAAGTCCTACCTTTTTATTTTATAAATATATTTGATTCAATGAAAAGAAACCCCTTTGTTTTGATTCGATCGAGTTTCAAGACATTGAGACAAATTCTTGAAGGGGAGAACGAAAATCAATCGTACTCTAGGTATCTGCCCTCTATTGACGCCCGAAGAACTATCTAAACGAAGAGTGGGACCTACTTGTGGGTGGGTTCTGTTTCTTGGTCTACGCTGGGGGTCACTACAAGGAACCACTACTCTGAAACTTAACTGGGCGTTAAAAAGGCTTTTTGTGGGTCTTAAACTGGACACGTTCAATAATTACGAAGCAAAGCTTTTGTTTGGATTTTAGAAAACCAAATAAAATAAATATCATCCGCCTTAAGGAGAAATCTGCCTATTTATTTTCTTATAAAGGTTTGTGGAGAACTTATTAATAACTCCAGTGTATGCGATACTTGCATAAAACAAAACGTTGGAAGAGTGTTTGTAATCGAAATATCAAGAAAACAGATAGATATGACTTTGAGTATATTTTTGCTTTTGCTTTTTCCCTTCCAAGTGTAAGATCATTTTGAGACCTTTTTTTTCCAAGTGCGAGCACATTTAGTTTGATTTTGTTAAGTGTAAGAACATTCATTTTGATTTTGTTAATTGTGAACATTTTTGTTGATTTTTAAGCGTAATGGCATTTAGAATTTATTCTTTTAAGTGTAAAGGCATTTTCAGAATTCTAAAAATGTGACTTGACTCACAATGACTAATAGGGAGCTTTTCTTAATATATACTTATACAGTATAGATAGATGAAGTCACAATAGCGGATTATGGGCATGATGATGCAAATATGTACAAATACAAATATGTGAATATTCAGAATCTTGGAAAATCATGAATACTGTGATTAAATACTATTTTACGAATATGGTGAAAATATTATAATCTAATTCATGAATAAATTGTTAAATCTATCACAAATTTGTAAATAAATTCACAATTGAACCAGGATTAATCTACAAACTCAACATTCCGTTCTTCTCCACTGTAGTCATACGACTTGCAAAATCTTGCCAAACTGGGGACACAACCTGTGAAAGGATTTAGAAGCAAGATACACAATAAACGCATGGTTCTGAGACTACCAAAGGCAACAGTTCCAGCACTCAAAAGACTGCAAAAATGAAAACAAAGGCTGTCCCCAAAAATATCGAAGTCTTGGCTAGTTTCAACACTAGTTACAACTCCCAAGTTGCCGATATAGTTAACAGTTCCACAAGCAAATCAATCTACAGACCAGCTAGAAAATAGTTGAATCTATGATTAACAGTTACAAGCATAACCTCTGTTTACATAGGAATATCTTTCAAAAGCAGTACAGTCAACTCCTAGAGCAAGGAGTTGAGCTCTCTATCGAAGCTTTCAGGCTCGAAGTGGTGCACATGATAGTATGTGCTCTTTGTAGGTGTTTAACTCGCTCAAAACTTCCCCCTCCGGCCTGTAGATTAGGTCATTCATGCGCCATATCTGTATTAAGCACCACATAAACAGGCGAGAAATGTGAGAGTAGATTGCATTGCCTCAACAGCTAAGATGACATTAGTGAGCACTGTTAACAACAATGTGAAACTCTACAGGCATATCACCCTAAACACTGTAGAAGATTATGGGCAAGTTTCATTGGTTGGTAGCGTAGTACCAAAATACTTTAGCAGGACATTTTCCACATACATGGCATGTGTTGAATAAAAACATGACATCGTCCATGTGTTTTGCTTAAGAAGCATCTGATTCATGCCTGTATGTGATTCATTGCCGAAGACTCATTTTCCTTTTGCTTTTTCTAGTTCTTACTAATTCATAGGGATGCTCCCAATTGTACATTGATTTTCTCAAAGAGACAACTTGATTTCCTAACCATCGTTAGACCATTAATCTACATGGACGCCCAACCTTGCCACGAAGAATTGAATGATGCCAAGGATGACAATTGACCAGGGACACTTAACTGGGATCAGTATCTTTGGACTTGTTTTTTATTCTAAACTAGCGTGTAACACATCTACATTATAGTAAAATTTATACTCAACCACAATAGTGGGTAGAATAGAGGGAAAATCACGTATATAAAACAATTTACCTGCAGAGTCCCACCACCATTAGTGCTTGCACAGTCATCAGATACACTAACAATGGTCCATTCATCTTCTGTATTCCAGTTGAAATCAACGACCTTATCTCTGCATCCTCAGACAAGAAGCAAGACTATTATAAATACATGTAGCCAACGAAAAGTAAGCTAAAGATAATAATAACCAAGCTTAACCGTAAATATTCATAATTTAGTTAATCAGTTCTTGCATTCATATTTAGTTGATCTTTTAGCAAGCTACCTGAAATCTTTGTCATTCAAAATACATACACAACTCTCCTTGCACAAGAAACGTAAGCCACACCTATTACTAATCGGTTCGAAAACATAAAATCAAAACCAGAAACATACAGGTATGAACAGAGAACAAGGATAAAAATAACCTATTAACTCTAACTCTTATTTCACCACTCCATGAAATAAATGTTGAATCTCATGAATGCTCGCAGAGTTGACGGAAATCAACATGAAAATGGAACTAGTTGTGGAAAATTAGGAGAAAAATCGGTGATAGTTTTCCCCTTTGCTCCTGATATGTCATGGGAAGTTATGAGTATCATACTTCTATTCAGATACCGCCGGTGTCCATGGTGTGGCAAGTTCTTGGGGAATGTATTAACAGATCATATCATGGTTACAAAAGATGTAGAAAATAAATAGTGGCAATAAAGAATCATGGGTCTTGGAAGCGAATAGCAACAGCAATGAAACTGGAGGAGGAATTGAAGTATACTGTCATGATGGTAACTGGATATCTAGCTTTTTTTCAATATGAAAAGATACGCATCATGTGCATCAGAGCTTGACAAGTCGTACATTTGATATAATTGCTAGATTAAAGGAAGGATTATTTTTTTTTTACAGTTTAGGACTGAAGATCTTGAACGGAACACTACAAAACCAGTAAAAAAACATGCAAAACCAGTCCGGAAAAGCAAACTGATGAGATCCATTCTTTAGATAAAGAAAAACTTCTTGACACTACAAATCTAGTAAGGAAAAGATGATTGATGAGGATCCGCTCTTAATCTAATGAACATTGATGTAGAAATCAGAGACAATGTTATATGTTATATTGCATAGACACAGACAAGAATGCTGAAAGTACCCTTCTTTTGGCAACATGCTAAAAGTACCCTTTAAAGAGAAGCATCGCGTATTGTATGTGAGCATGACCGGTGTGTCATACGACAAAACATGGATGTTTGAAGTGTCCATGCTATCTAGCTGGCATGTTAATTCTATAAAAGAAAAATTAACACATAAGAGAAAATATTTAAAGCACAGCAACAAATTATTGTAAACAGAAAAGCAAAAGAAAGAGATCAAAATAAGACGAACGTAAATTTAAGGATAAACGGAATGGAAATAAGACGAATGTAACTTTAAGGATAAACGGAACGCACTAATTAATTAACTTTAAAATTGAATCTAATAAACCATGAAGTGACAATAATATATTACAGTTAAGCAGAAAAAGTTTGATGGATGATAAAACTTGGTGCATGAATTTCAGCAACAAGGTATCTGAGTAAGCTGATGCATACATGACAAGTAGTTCTCACCTGTGTCCTGCATGCTGAAAGAATAAACCAGATGACTTCAGTGTCTTTATTCCAGCATCCTCTACCTTCTTACTTACCTAATAGAAGCTTCATATTGTTCAATAAAAAACGAATACAAACATGAAAATTACTTTGGAAATATCAATATTTGACCTAAAAAATCAGCAAATTATCATATATAGTTAATTTCTGTTGTTAATAAAAAAATTATAAATAATTAAAAGTATGCTGCGAAAGAAAATGAAAAGGAAACCTAAGAAGAAGCAAATCTAGTTTTGACATAATAATGATCTATGCATTGTGTGAACCTACACAGCATGAAATAGCACTGGTGAAAACTACCAAAACATATTACAACGGAACTTGTAAATGAACTTGCAATTGACAAACAATAATTGCTAGTGCCCCACCCTGCAGTTATTAATATCAATGTACTCCATAGAGGACTGTGTTCTACTTCCACAAGCTCATTGAAGTTGAATCTTTACAATCTGAATAATCAAAATAAAATCTATATTGCATAAGTTTACTGTTATTCTATTTTGAACAGTGACACTGAAGGTCCAATTAAGAAATTAGCAGGTGGACATGACCAGTGAATGTGCTGCAATGTGACGAACAACATCAGAATGTAAGGGCACCAGTCAAGCCTGTAGGGGAAGTTGGTTTCTTATAATTTATGATATCAGAACTAATAATGTATGCTTATAGGCGGCTTTTTCTTTTTCCAGCGTAACTTACAGTAAATAATTAAAACCTATAAAAAAATACCAAACCTACAGAACAAGAATCCTGCCACCGAGGCCGAGTACAATTAAAAATACAAAATTTTCTGTGTTTTCCGAGTATAGTATCAAAAAAGATAAAGATATATTCCTGACTAATCAATTAACAACTATTTCGCGAAAAACCCCAAAACATATTTAAGCCATCATGAGAAACTTTAAACAATTGTCATCTTTAAACTATAAAACAGGTATAATTTACTAATACATTCATTTCTGAAAGACAAACAACAAGTTCATATTTACCTTTTCGTAATCCCAAACATTTAGAAAAGAATCCTCTGCAGCACTCCCAAAAACTGATGCCTTGTTAGGGCACCACTGAAATAACAATTACAAATCCTTAAAAGTCAAGAAGAGATTTTATAAAAGCTACAAAAAACAACCAAAATAGAAACTTTTGAGTAGTTTGGAAAAAAAAGTAAAAGTTCTGCTAAAAATATTCAAATATCTTGCCTGAACGCACAAAACAGCATCTTTGTGACCTTCAAATATATGCAAAGGTGACCCAACAGCACCAGAAGTGAGTTTACGACGGTCGAACAAACGAACAGTAGTGTCAGCAGATCTGAGAATACAAGATCTCAAATGAAATTATGAAATTTAACTTGCACTAATATAAAAATGAGAGTACAAGAGAAGATTGAGGGTATTGTCAGAAAACCAAGGTGCATGAAAATAATATGACCCACACTATAAGAAACAAACAGCCAAAATGAACTATAATTACAATAATAAAATAAAATTAAAACACAGAGAGGTCAAGAGGGTTCCACAGTTTATACCCTGTTAAAATAAGATTTTCATCATGGCGGTTCCAATCAACACAATGAAGATCAGCATTATGCGCCTTTTCGACCTGCATTAGAAATGAGCTCCTATATCAAACCTAGATACTTTCTAATATGCCGATTAAAAATGCATGGAAAATTAAAACTCCAAGACAATAAACAAAAAATGAGCGCAAACAAAAAGACCTTAGATGGAATCAACTCTATGATAACCATACTGTAAACATTGAAATATCATCTTGCTTCAGACTAGCTGCATAATCTGTACTCCATGCAAAAAATAGAACATACTGGAATGAAGTGTGCCTAAACACCATCTTGATTACATTTGGCATTAAGATCAGATATTAAAAAATAGAAGATACTGAAATGATGTGTGCCTAAGCACATTCTTGATTACATTTGGCATTAAGATCAAACATCAAATAATGACCATCAATAAAGTATGAATATGACAAGTGGTTACATCTCAGATAAGACTGCTTGAAGCTATCCAAAGATCACAGAAGGAGAATACAATTCTTACTACTGACATGATAGTTCATGAATTCAGTAACTCATTATTACACAAGGTTTGATGAGTATCAGTCAATCAACAAACTCGAAACTATTAAAGAATTAAAGTAAAGTGAACTTACCCACAGAAACCAAGAACTGAATTTTAAGATGTCAACCTTTATACAATTCACTATATGATATTCAACATGTCATGATATTGAACAATTTGTTAATGTGTTAATCTTTCTACTCTCATTAACTTTTTATTTATTTATTTATTTGGGATACTAAGTTCTATTATTTGCACGTAAGGGTATCTATGACTACAGAACGAATAAGTTAATTGTGAATGTTGAGAAATGCGTACAGAGAAGGGAAATTTTGCAAAATAGACCGTTTTTATGAAATATATAGCAAAAATAAATAGACCACTTTGGTAAATAATTAGCAAAATAGACCTCTTTTTGGCCAATAGGCCAAAAAGAGGTCGATTTTGAAAAAGTGGCTTCAGAAAACATACGGGACTAGTAGTCCCGTATGTTTAAAGCTAACTAATCTAACGATTAGCGAACTCAGAACTCAGATCACTAGCAAAACATACGGGACTAGTAGTCCCATACATTTTGCACAACCACTTAACCTCTGCTCAGCAAATCCACAGGACTACTAGTCCTGTGGATTTGTCGTGAATGAAATGCGCTCTGCAATTTCTACAGGACTACTAGTCCCGTAGAATTGCAGACTATATATATACCTCAAATTAGGGCACATTTTCCCCCTTCGCTTCTTTCTCTCGCCATCTCCCTCTCTCTCTCCCGAGCACCAACTCCCGATCCCCCCTCTCTCTCTCTCCTGAGCTCCAACTTCAGATCTCCCCCTCTCTCTTTCCCGAGCTCTCACTCTCTCCCAAGCCGATCAACGTCCCAAACCCGATCTCCATCTATCCCAAATCCAACCCAACAATCCCAATCTCTCTCCCCCAAACCCAACTCACCTCTTCCTCCCTCAAATCTGACGCCGACGCCGTCTATTCTCTACGAGGCCGAGGAGATCTGAAATTTAATCAATGTACAAATTTTAATTTTTCCATAAATTTATATGTATTGTTTAGTTAATGTTGTATATCTAGAAAATATATATAATTATGGTCTAGGAAAATGTCTGGAAAAAAATATAATTTTTATATGATGAATTTTAATGCTTCAATTAAAATGGCGAATGGAGTACCGATTATTTGCTTATTCAATGGAAAACTGAGCGTTGGATTGAATAATATGCCTATACACGATGGAGGCTCTAGGAAAATGTTCATGTTGTCCAGAAATTACAACTTTGATAGATTGATGGCGCAAATATACAGAGTTACTGGAATTAATCACGTCGAAAATTCCATTAAGGTCTTCAGTAATTGTCCAATAAATGATCAAAGAACAATTGCTGTAGAGATCACCAATGATGAAGAATTGAATAACATTAAATGATCAAAGAACAATTGCTGTAGAGATCACCAATGATGAAGAATTGAATAACATGATACAACTTGCGGAAAAACAAATATCAATCGAGTTGTTTATTGAAAATATTCCAATGTCTGTGGTTGTTGAAGTTTCATATGCTCGTGGAGAGTTCTCTCGCATGCTTGATAATCAAATCTCGTTATCTCAAAGTGTCATGCGCTTAAAAAATGAGTCGGGTGCAATGTCAAATGACGTGTTCCACAACTCATCGGGTCATGTTTCAGTTGATTTACCGGGGGTTCTACAATAGTAGAGGATAATGATGAGGATGTAGATGTCGATGATGATACTGAAGATGCTGAAGAGGATGAACGTCTTGATAGTATGCAGTATGCAATTGGAGAGACCAATGATGACGTAAGTTGGATGGATGAATATTGCGTAAATAACGACTATGTAGAGTCTGAAGAGCCGTTGCCAGAAGAGTTTCAAAATGATGAGTGGATAAATGCCTCACAAGCTGAGTTCGTCGATCATGGCCCTAATTTCGATCGACCCGAGGACTTTACTTTCAAGAAAGGAGATCTTTTCAAGAACAAGGAAACATTAATTTTCGCTATACGTGAATGGGCAATAAAAAACCGGGTCAAATTCAAGACGGTGAAAAGCAACACAACTAGCTATCATGTAAAGTGTTACTTTAATGAGAAAGGTCAAGGAGAGAATACAAGTGCTGCAGATGATAGAAATTCAAAGTGTCCGTGGAAGCTTAATGCAGCTATTAGGAAAAAATCACTTGGCCAATTTATGATCTCTAGTTATTGCGGACTCCATACATGTTCAAATTCGACTGCAACTTATGATCATAAGACTTTGACTTCCTCTTATATCACAAAGCTAATTATGCCCGAAGCAACTTATGATCATAAGACTTTGACTTCCTCTTATATCACAAAGCTAATTATGCCCGAAGTTAGGCGGGAACTTGATCTTACTCCAGGACAGATAATTACAAGGGTATATGATATGAAAAGAATAACAATATCCAGGTTTAAAGCATATGATGCACGGAGGAAGGCGTTGACTAAAATCTTTGGAAATTGGAAGGAATCTTACCAATTACTTTCGCATTATCTTTCAGCAATTATGAGGAAAAATTCGGGTACCGAATATGACATAGTGTCTAAGGAGGTCGCGCCAGAAATGGAGAGGTTCATACGTGTTTTTTGGGCATTTGGGCCCGCTATCAGAGGGTTCTCTTTTTGTCATCCGCTCTTAAGTATCGATGGAACATATTTATATGGCAAGTACAAAGAAGTGCTCTTGGTTGCGACCGGTGTAGATGCAAACGGTGGGCTATTTCCAAGGTTATCGATAGCGGATAGCGTCGCGTAGCGGTGAGGCATTGCTAAGGCTATTTCGGGCTATTGCGGTAAAATAACGGTAAAAAACGCAAAGTCAAATAACGATCTAATTTAGATATGTATAAATACTAAAAAAGAAAAATTAAAAAAAAATCTAAGAAATTTAAAAGTACATATTGGATGATTTAAATAGATCCTAAACATGAAATAGACATGTAACCATCACATAATACCGAAGATGACTGGAAGAGTTAAAAAGTTATCGTCTTCAAGAAGAAGAGTTTAACGGTGACAGGACTGCCCTAAGAGGAGCTCACGGTGAAGAATGTGAGAGGAAGTATCAAGGTAGGTATGAGAAGTGGCGAGAGTATGCTGAAAATCATAAGAGACGGTGAAATACAATGGTCAATGGTTGAATTTAATTTTAAAAAAATAAACCTCAAACCGCTTTTAAATAGCAGTCAAAAAGCAAATTTTGAATGTAATCGCTCACTATTTACCGTTATGACACACTATTGTCGCTTTTGCGAACAGACATATTCTGTAATATGTCAGCGCTATTGAGCGATAGCATAACGGGCGATAGCGTCGCGGAAAGGAACCACTAACGCTATTAGCGCCGCTATTGCGGGGCTATTTATCGCTATTTATAACAGTGGCTATTTCCTATAGCTTTTGCAGTTGTGGAGGTGGAGGATACATTGAAGTGATTTTTTTAATGTATTTACAAATATATTCCGACTGTTCAAATTCCACGAGTTATTACCTTTATTTCTGACCGGGTGAAAGGAATTCTACGAGCCTTGCACGAGGGGTGGAGTGCACCACGTCATCACCGATATTACTTGCGGCATATAAGAACTAATTTTAAGAAAAAACATGGAGAGGTCAATTTACAAAATCTATTATAGCGAGCCGGTTGTGCAACTGACTCACTGGTATATGAGCATTGTAGAGAGAATTAAATCCATATCACTTGAAGCCCATGATTGGATTAAACAAAACTTGAAGCCGCAATACGAAGATCGATGGGCATTATGTAAAGATGGTGGTGTTCAATATTGTATGATGACAACTAATTACTCCGAAAGTTTCAACGGCGTACTTAAGGGTGCCCGTGCTATGCCAATTCAAGCCTTAGTTGTAATGACGTTTTATAGATTGAACGCATACTTTAATAAGAGGCGTAGTGATAGTGCAAATTTGACGAGTAAGTACACTCCAAAAAATAAGATTATTTTGCAGAAATAAGTACACTCCAAAAAATAAGATTATTTTGCAGAAAAAGATTGTGGCTGTGAGAACATGTAGAATTGAACAATTCAACAACAATGAGTGGGAGGTTAAAGTTTGTGATGATACATACACCGTTCATCTCGACGACCAGGAGTGCAGTTGTACTTGTAGTATAAAACAATTACAGAAAATCCCATGTCAACACGTTTTAGCGGCTAGTTCCAATCAAGATGGTGGTGCTAGATTGCCTTATGATCGGTATTGCTCAGCTTGGTATTCAACAAATCATTATCGGAAGACTTATAATGAGAGTTTTCATCTTCCCGATGATACTCGTTATTGGTCGGATTTATATATACCTTATATATTACCACCTAAGCACAAAAGACAAGCCAGACGACCAAAATCCGTACGCATTAGATCTACCATGGATCAAGGTCGTGAAGGAGTAGCGTCACGAATCCGATGTGGACAATGTAATCAATTAGGACATAATAGGTCTCGTTGTCCATCAAGAGCAAGTAGATAGCAATTAATTTGTAAGTAAAATATTTTCTAATGATATGTCATCATTATATGTTATTGATTTAGCAAGTAGATACATTGTTCATATGTATTTGATTTGGCAGAAAATCATAAGTTACCGTTATATGTGCAGGTATATACACGATGCTTCCCGGACCGGTTAATGATGAAGTCCTTTATGATCAGTCACGCCACCGTTCGGAGAGTATATCATTTACATCGGTAATGATAACATATTTACAGTCACATATTACTTATTCATTTTTATAATCTAATATTTGTATTCATTTATGTGCAGAGAGGACAAGAGCTGGTTATGATTGATCATAGCCTTGGACATACGTGCTGGCCACTTGATGATCCTCGCATCATTGCCCTAGTATCCCAAGCCGGTTTTCTTACTTGCTCAAAATTGAAATTGATGAAGCTCGATTGGGCACTGCTTAACGCGTTGATGGATAGATGGAGGCCGAAGACTAATACTTTCCATCTACGTGTCGGCGAGACAACTATTACTCTCCAGGATGTAGCAGTGATCCTAGGTCTCCGCATTGATGGCCCTTGTGTCACGGGGACTGATAGGCATATTTGGCGAAGAGTATGTGATAATTTGTTAGGAATATCTCCGGAGTTCTTGCCTGGAGGGTATATTAGATTGAAGTGGCTTAAGGAGAGTTTTGAAAACCCGTTGCCACAAGATGCACCTGAAGTGATGATCCAACAGCATGCGAGAGCATATATTATGCACATGATCGGGACGCTTCTTTTTCCCGATTCAAGTAAACATAAAGTCCATTTGAGGTAAGTAAACATTAAGTATTGATTTTTGCTCACTATTCTTAGTATACATGACTAACGTATTTGAACTCGCGCTAGGTGGTTACCACTTATCGAAGACTTCGACGTGTGCGGGACATTATCCTGGGGTAGTGCTGTTTTAGCATACCTATATAGAAAAATGTCAAAGGTTGCTTTAATGCAAAATAAGGAGCTCAAGGGTTGTTTAACATTGCTACAAGTTTGGGCATGGGAAAGATTGGTTTTGAAACCATGAGTATGCGAGATCCGAGAGTTAGATGGACATATTCCACTAGACTGCAGGTAAAAAGCGTCAAATTGAATCTCATTTGTATTTAATTTTAAATTTAACATTTTGAACAAAAAATTGAATCTCATTTGTATTTAATTTTAAATTTAACATTTTGAACAAAAACGTTTCTTGCAGATGGAATGTCACAAAAGCCTATGATGAGACCCCGGCTAGGTAATTAGATTTTTACAGAGGGGAGCTCGACCGGATGAAAATTTTTCAGGTATTGAATTTGAATTGAAGTACTCTATGATATCAATATATTTCAGAAAAATATTAACATTTGGATTTTTTTGCAGTTCGAGTGACAGCCATACACCCCTCACCTACCTCGTCTACCGCTGATTTGTATGGAGAGACACGACATATGGAGGGCTAGAGTTCCTCTCGTTTGTTTCGAGATTGTGGAGATGCACGTACCCGATCGCGTGTTTAGACAGTTTGAACTCGCGCAACATGCTCCACAATATGTCAAAAAAATAGAGAGAAAGGCGACTAAAGGTAGACATCAAATTGACTGGCAGCGCACACATCAATCATTCATTGCTAGGTGGAATGATCGACATCAACATATTGCCAATTAGCTTTATCCTCCGATGAAAGAAGTTGATTCCATTAAATGGTATTGGGGGATTACCAGACGTTGGATAATCACTCAAACTACGCCTTCAGTCGACGAAATCGAGATTCGCTCCCAACAAGAGGGGTAGATGAGAGACAATGGGTAAGTTAAATTGTCAAAATTATCATAGAATGTCAATCTCTTCTTAGCTTATGGTTTCTAATATCAATATTTTTATGTAATTGTAGATAGATGCTATGGACGAGGTCGAGGGGATTGCAAATGAGGGCATAGCTACCGCCACAGGAGATTCAGTACATGTATCGATATTGCATCGGATAGTGGCGAGAGTTCGTAGAGCTTTTCAACAAACTTATGAGGATCGGTATGAAGATCGTGAGCAGGTGGATCTTGACGATACTCTATATGTACGCCGACGTAGACGCGGTAGACCTTGCACGCACGATGATGAAGTCGGTCCGTCACAGCAAGCCGGTCCATCACAGCCCCACACACAACCGGAGAGCGAGCATATTCAAGCTCATCCGTCACAGCAAGCCGGTCCATCACAGCCCCACACACAACCGGAGAGCGAGCATATTCAAGCTCAAGTAGAAGGAGGATGCCGACGATCTCAACGAGTGCGAAGAGAGAGACAACGGGGGAGGGGTGGATTTTTTATTTGTTAGTTTTTCCACTAAGATATATATTATCGTATGGATTTATTGACCTTGGATTTGTTTATCTTAAACTACATATTATCGTATGGGTTGACTTGAGACATTTGGATTTGTTTAGCTTAGACTGATATATATTATCGTATGGATTTGTGATGTGTATTTTTGTCGGATTTTGGATGTGATGTGTATTCCGTCGGATTTGTGTTGTGATGTTGTTGATTACGTCGGATTTGTGTGGTGATGTACTCTATGATGAGATTTGTGTTGTGATATTGTAAATGATATCTTTTTGACGAAAATTTTGGTTGTAATCGATAAATGAGGCCCATGCATGTTTGGTGCATGTTGCCCCTCTGCCCAGCAAATCCACGAGACTAGTAGTCCAGTGGATTTGCTAGGCAGAGGTTAAGTGGTTCTGCAAAACGTACGAGACTACTAGTCCCGCACGTTTTGTTAGTGAATAGAAAATATACGGGACTAGTAGTCCCGTATATTTTTTGAGTTCGCTAATCGTTAGATTAGTTAGCTTTAAACATACGGGACTACTAGTCCCGTATGTTTTCTGAAGCCACTTTTTTAAAATAGACCTCTTTTTGGCCTATTGGCCAAAAAGAGGTCTATTTTGCTAATTATTTACCAAAGTGGTCTATTTCGCTATATATTTCATAAAAACGGTCTATTTTGCAAAATTTCTCTACAGAGAACTATTGAACTACAGTAAAAGGCTGTCCAACTAACTATACAACAAGGTGATATGAACAACTAAATAGGTAACATAAGGATTACTGACATAGAGAAAATCATAACATGTTTATTTTCAACCGCAAATATGTAAATATAAAAAATGAACACTTTGATCATAATTCCCTCAACACCAAAAATTGTGAGGGTGAGTACTTACAAAATGTAAAACAAGCATGAATGCATTATCCTCTCGGGTGGTGTTGGTCTTTGGGTCATTTTCCCCCCCTCGTTTGCGTGTGTATTTTTTATCTTAGTTTCCACTAATCCCATCCCACCCCAACCCGTACCCCCCACACACACACCAACACCACAAAAAAAACCACTGAAGTGAGTTCCAAAACGTATCCTTTTTCAACAAATGCTTGCACATTTATTCTTGAGTGTTGGATTTTGTTGGTGATTCTCTCTTTATTTCTTCCTTCTCTGAACAAAACTCAGGTGCAAGTAACAAAAGGGAGGAATAAGAGTTGCAGAAGGATCGTTCCCAAATTTGAACAAAACATGCATAACTTCAGAAAACAAGCTTCTTACCTTGATGGCAGGACTAGTACCAACGCGAGCATCCCAGAGAATGAGGCAAGAATCATCCCCTACACTACAGAATTCCTGTGCACTTCCACAAAATAAAAAAGAATGTCAATACCAGAATTGATGGTGCTAAATAAAATTAAAATCTAATTAAAGGAAAGTTTCAGATGCCATATCCTATTTTAGTCTACAACCAAAACTAGAAAAATAAATGACTATACTTATACAGTGATAATGATTCCATTGTGTGTTCTAAAAATGACTCTTTCACTCCTGCCATTTGTTGAAGCAGTTGCAAAACATAAAGTGATTAAAAATGAAGCTTTTATACTCAATTCTGCTTGTCTGTTAGTTGTAGCTATTTCTAGTTATTCCAATTGCTCTTTTTTTAATCCACATGTCGCATATCACGAACCTGTCCTATACCAAGGGATACATCTAGCAGTGAAAATGAACCAAATCGGATCGAACGCCATAGTATTCGTATAAGAATTCAGTTAGTTTTCATGCATTTGAATTCGAATTAGAAGTAGTCGAATAGTGAAAGTGTTCAAATTCGACTCGTTAGTTACCGAATATTCATTAAATGTTCATGAATATCTTATTAGCACACTTGGTACGTCCTAAGATTCTTAAGCATGAGGTCTTGAGTTCAAACCCTATGTTTGAAGTAGTTTCTTATCTTTCTTTTTTGTTTTTTTAAGTTTTACTTAGTTGTTACTATAATATCTCACCATAAGAATCATTATGTTGTGTTTTTATAAATTATTAATATAATACATATAAATAGCAATGATTATAATATTATGCACACAATAAAGATGATACAACTTATCTTTCTTTTTTGTTTTTTTAAGTTTTACTTAGTTGTTATTATAATATCTCACTATAAGAATCATTATGTTGTGTTTTTATAAATTATTAATATAATACATATAAATAGCAATGATTATAATATTATGCACACATAAAAGATGACACAATGTAGTACTATAAAAGTAGAAAATTGTAAATAAATATTTAATAATCAAATGAATTGAATATACCTCTGGATAAATTCTATTCGTTTATGGGCTGAATACTAAAAAAATGTCCATTTACTATTTAATGAACAACTAAATCAAATATGACCAAATATTTGGACGAATAATAGGCAACTCGTTTATTAATTACTTGGTTCCTTTCCGCTCCTAGTTACATTTGGGTAGGATAATTTCATGGCTAACATCATGTTTATGACTTGGGATTATGACAGGTACATGGATACATACTAGGCTTGGAATAGAGTGGGCGTGGACTAGGCTCATTGTATTAGGAATAGAATTTTGGGTTTCTGTAGGAATAAACGCCAGAGGTATTGGATTCGGGGCGAGTGGATTTTAAATTTGATTAGGAATAGAGTGTTCAAATAAACTGTAGGGTACTCTCACAAATTTTAGATGTACTCTGGTTCAAGAAAATGTTACAATTAGGTAGAAATATTGGTAGGGATCATGATCAAGTCTAATATAGAAAGTGCTTTTATTGTAGAAGAAGCTACAGAGTGGGGAGTGTCTAAATATTCCCCACTTCAATAAACTAGGTCTCTGGATCCACAATGCACCAGCAACCAACAAAACCAAATAACTTTGTACTGGTGCAGGTGTAAAAAGCACATGCACACTTAAGTTTATATAAGGACATGCATGGAAATTTCATGCATTTCTAAATCCTTGGATGTCTGCAAACTCAGATGTTTCAAGTGGTAGGTACCTGGAAGGAGAAAACTGCACATCTTCAACGGTTTCTTGATGTCCTTGGAACACCCCTCGTGGTTCAATTTTAGGACTATCATTATTTTTCGCATCGCCACTTGGGAGCTGCTTTGTACTGGAGTTTGATCCAGGAGACCTACTAGTCGTGGTAACTGATAAAGAAGAAATATGGTCTTGTATGCTCCACAAGACAACTGATTTGTCCTTCCCTATAGTAGTTGATAGTTAATACAATGAGATGCAAGCAGAGATGACTATAACGCATCAAAGAGTCAGCACAGAAACATGCCAAATATTCTTAAGCAAATAAGCAAGAAAAGTTACAGACTCAGTCCTAAAAATAGAATTATATGAGATCTTAATGAGGATTACATATAGTAAAAAAAATGGAAAAGGATTTTAATTCAATGCTTCATACCCAGAGATGGTTGAATTACCTAATAGCAAACTTTACCAGCTTCCCTCTGTACTAAAACTGATAACTCAGGAAAATTTTGGAGCATGGATAACCGATGGGGACTCAAAATGCTGTCCGGCAATGATAACACTCAAAACTCCCATTCACATGGGCGGCATCAAGTCCATGCATATCCGACCCAAGGTTTTTAAAGTTCTGGAAGGAAATTGAAATGTGTCCTGCAAATCCTATCATTTCCGACGTGTGCAATCTGCCAATATGTGGAAAGATCATGTGGAAGAGCCTCCAAACAGGCAAACCTTAATTCTAACACCCAAAGACCGATCAATAGATGCGGAACAAGCAAATATGAACGTGGTGCTCATGTACAAATGGCTCTATGATCAAGTCTGCACAATGGCAGTTCTCATACAGAGGTATGATAAGTAGGTGACTCCAATGCTACAAGAATTCAGTTACTAGGTGACCCCAATTCTACAAGAATTCAGTTACCAGAGCTGTTATTATGTTATTCTCCTAAGCCAACCATAACTCTGCCACTTTTCTCTAAGAAATACAACCTCAGTACCAAACACAACCTCATGGCCAATTTTGACCATGCTCTTGGCCTAATTGAAGGACCAATCTTGTTTTCTCTGCCACCATTCCTTTTGCTCCTTCAAAATCACTTGCTTTAGTTCATACTCTAAAGGAGATGTTGACATCAATCGCCATCCGTTCACCTACCAAGAAACCATAATTCAATGTGTCGCTTCTTCACCACTGTTGTTAACGATTAAGATTTAAATATCGAGTATCGGAGAAATATCAGATGGCCAAAATCCACATTGTATTATGGATATCAGGGAAATGTCAGGGATACATAGTAAATATCAGAGTGGCATACCGGCGGCTGATATGCTTATATATAATATAATGGTCTACAATATAATCCAAACATACTTATTGAAACTAAACATACTTAATGAAACCAAAGCATACCAATATATAAATAATATATGTTTAGAACCAGTAACCAATTGTAAATACTTAGGGAAAACCTACTAAAATTTTGCTTAAAACTTCGTACGGCTGTAAAAAAATAAATTTTGCAGAACTATATTGTTTTGCGGCAAGCTTTATAAAAGGATACATCGACCAACATATCGACTAATTTATCATCCATTTCAAGGATATATCGCCAAAAATTGCTAAAAAGCGTAAAGGACATTGGGACCATGTTGTTTTGCAACAAGACTTATGAAAGGATATATCGGCTGATATCGGCCAATATATCGGGCTACATCGGGGGATATTTAAAATAATGTTAATGATAGCTACATATTGATTAGGAAACCAACAAAGTTGTATCCTTTCATTTTGCTGTTTACTGCTGAATACCAATGAATACTTATGCTAATTTATTAATTTGCCTACATAACGTAATCAGGTATAGATATATAGCCTTAAGAAATGCTGCAACAAGATAATAGGTAACAAATACTACTAGAAGTTCACTTGTCTAGTTGTCCCACAACTAACACTTTTAATGTTCATAATCTCTCCATCAAGCGGAATCAAATGGGTCCCAGTAAATGAATAACGTATTGAATAACTCCCATCATATGACCTTGTCCTATGCTCTACTAAATGCACTACTGACAAGAAGAATGATAAAGAACAAGAAGCAGCTACATGATTGCTTTATTGCCTTTATTTTCTACACAATTCTAACTCATAGCTTAAATGAACTAACAATGGTAGTAAATGCAAAAAATGAAGAGGCTAGATGCTTATACAAAAAGTAAAGCAGCTAAACTATAATAAAAGAAAGATACCCAACCTCCAGAAAGTACTAGAGGATCTAAACGACACAGGGCGAGTGCAAATTCTGCATTTTCTTGGTGCCCTGTCAAGACCTGCAATTTCACAATTTGAGTTACAATTAGAGGTTATTTAGATAGCAAAGGCCTCTACGGTTCTACCTACAAAACCATCGAAACTAAATGCTTCTGTTTAATCGTTTATAAGTTAACCACCGTGTCCTCTTACAAACATTCTAGTATTAATGAGAATGACACATTAAATATCCTGTAAGTTATATACAAATATAATCAGTATAAGCCTAAAAAGTAACAACGTTAGTAACAAACCAAATCAGGACGAGATTCTGTAGCTCCAAAAACAGCATGACGATTGGGTTGTGCCTCCACATCCCAAATGAGCACCTGCATGGTAGTAATGCATAACTTAGATCGACACATCACAACAACATTCTGAACACAACGGTAAGTTACAACCTAGTATAAGTAAACCATTAAATGAAAAGACATACATCAGGACTATCTGTATGAGTTGCTATTATGTTGTTGTTTGTAGGCAGTTCCCTGATTCTGTTAACCTGCACAACAACAACAACTCATACTGCATTAAAATACCACAAACTCGTCAAACTTCAAATAAAAGTAGCCAAGCTTTACATCCAGAAATGTAAGAGTTTTTCACCAAGCATGATACCACCGTGGCACCATGTAGTTATTAGACAAAGTCGAACTTATATCTAATAATTCATAAATTGAATGAGGCTACATTTTTCTGACTCTCGAAAGTATAAAAAGATGATGCCTGTATTTAATCCAAAAGGTCTATGGCTTATAATAAGAAGTAAGACAAGATCCAATCTTTCTTCAACACGGGTTGTTTATTCTCCTACGGACTTTAATGTTCATTCCAAATTAATCTAGCATCTTAAATAATAAATATAATAAAACTACTCATTTCAGTGTCTACAGCTTTGAGTTTAGCAAGAAGGTCTATGGTTAATTATTAGGATGCCTACCATCATTTAGAATGAAAGAATGAATGACCAAGGTAACATTTAGCCCATGTGCAACGGGGGGCTTCAAAAAAACTGAGTCGATAAGCCTTTTCCATTTATTAAGGGTTATGCTACTGAAATCAGTTGGTGAAACTTGAAAGCTACAATAGAAACTAGATCTAAGTGTATTCTTTATACTCTATACAATAGAGACAAGTATTAAACATCGAACCACCCCGAACATTAAGACGTCAGCCTTATGAATCAATCATTTTAGTATCATTCTTATTAAGGGAAATGTCTTGTCAGAAAGAGTTTCCAGCCCTTCTATGACATGCTTGGAAAAATTCAAATATGCATGCTCAAGATGTTTACTAGTTCTGTATTTCCTTGAGGCTGTGTTTGGTTTGAGGGAATAAGAGAGAAAAGAAAAAGAAAGTGAAAGGAAAAAATAAAGGAAAAGAAAGATAAAAGAAAATAAGAATCTTTTTGTCGTTTCGTTAGCTAGAAAACTGTAAAGAAAGTTGAAGGAAAATCTCAAGGAGAGTAGTATCTCTTGTTATATATAATCTATATTAATAATTTTTTAAAAGTTATTTTTCTATACAAGAGTTCACTTCAAGTGTTTTTTGTTCTTTATAAGAACAGATCTATATTAAGTTAATTAGTATATTATTGCGTAAACAAAACTAGAAATACTTTTTTATCAATATTAGTCCCACAAAATCTTTCATATTCTGGAACGAATCACTCAAATTATTAAATTGCTATTAGGTTTTCCGATTCCTAAGTTATTTTAAAATTAGCCCTTCAAAACATTTAAAATGCTAGTAAGCCCCATAAAATAACTTTGAATTTAGTGCCTCCAATCAAGAGTATAAGTACCAATTAGAAAGGTTATAGCTAGAAACAACTTATGAAAATCGGGGGCTTAATAGTAATTTCAATGTTTCAAGGACTAATCTCATAATAACTAAAAATTTAGAGAAGCTAGTAGAAATTTAATAATTTGAACTCATTTCAAAATGTGAAAGATGGCTTGAAAAAAACTTTTACTTATGCGTGCACAAACATATGGCTTGTGGGGCCCCACATGGAACAAGTGAGTATTTTATGTGCCTAGCTAAAACCTAAAGCATGCCCATTTAATCATGTGGGCCCCACATGAAAACAAATGAGTTAGTAATTTGCTGACAATGTCTCCGAGAGTGCGTCGCCTTCCTCCCCAATAAAATTTTCCACTGCTTTCACTAGGTTCTGGTGAGGAAATGATCCGGAGAAATTTCAGTCCACTTTCCTTCTTATTTTCTTCTGTTTTTCATTTTCTTTCATTTTCATTCAAGCCAAACACACCCTAACTGTATGTACGAATATTCTAATGAATCTTAATTTTGTGAATTAGATCATCACATATTATTCGCAAAAAGAAAAGGAATAGCAATTGATCAATTAACTAGTTTTTCCTTCAGGTGTATCAACAAACAAGTAATATTGAATTTTAACTAAGAAATTGCAGCAACATGCAAAATATTAAAAATGCAAAACTACGATTAGCTTGATCTCGGTCAGAGGGTACGTAGGTAACCATGGTATAATGGTGCGGCTGGTTTGGTATTTCAGATCTCTCTGGTGATGTTCGCGATGTTCTTCTGATGTTCGTCCAAAATTTGAGGTTTATCAAATGATGCACGAGGTGGAGAATTGTGAACGTGTGGAGCGAGACATGTTTTGTGTCTCGCGGGGGCCACACCCAATTGTGTGTCTCGGCACCTCCCAAACCCGAGACACACTATGTGTCTCGCGCGGGCTTCGAGACAGCCGACGGGAATTTTCAAGATGCGGTTTTTGGGCTTGTTTCTGGTCTAATTCTTTGGGTATAAATAGGAACTCATTCCTAGGGTATTTCCATAAGGTTTGACGGCTACTTAGAGAAGAAAAAGCAAAGAGTTTTTCAGATCTAAATGTGAGATCTTGAGGAGAGAAAAAGAGAGAACTTGGAGGGATTGTACAAGAAAGAGATCATCTTTCTTGGGTAAAATTGAAGCATCATCTCTTTGGGACGAGCTTGTGGGTTGTACAAGTCGTCGATGTTCTACATCATAGTGAAATCTCCCTTCACCCCTCCCCGTGGACGTATGCAAGTTTGCCGAACCACATAAATTTTATGTCTCACTTATTGTATTGGCCATTGCTTGTGTTGGTTGGTTCCCTCGATATTCAGACCTAGATCTGATATTGTAAAGAGTGTATATCTCACATTGCTGAGATATTCACTTTTGTTCTTGTTTTTCGTTATCGAAACAGGAACATCGAGATTGGCTTGTGTTTTGTGAAAACAAAAGTCAGGACTTTCTCTCAAGGTGATTGGCTTCCGCAGCGAGGTGGGCGTATCGTCACCCAACAATTGGTATCAAAGCCCCTTGATCAGATTGGTGGTGGTAGAACTTCCGATTTAAGGTAGTGTTTGGTTATTGTGCGGTGCACACAATGTGTTTTGTTAAAATTCCTGAGAGAAGCAGATTCACTAAAACAAACGGAGAATAGCGTCTACTAGTAAAACAGTCAAAGTGGGAATGTATGAGATTGAAAAGTTCAATAGGAAGAATGTTTTTTCCTATTGAATGATGCAAATGAAAAACTTGTTGATTTCGCATAAATTGCACAAGGCTTTGGTAGGAAAAAAAAAAGCACAAAGATATGTCAGATGAGGATTAGGAAGAGTTAGATCTCGAAGCACGAGCGTCGATTATCCTATGCATTGAGAGGGATGTCGCTTTCTTGGTGGATGGAGAGGCAACGGCGGCGGGTGTGTGGTCAAAGTTAGAGAGTTCCTTCTTGACAAAGAGTCTAACAAATCGGGTCTACTTAAAATCTAAATTGTATACTGGCAAAATGAAGGAATGCTCATCAATCCGGGAGTACATCAACAAGTTCGATATGATCATATCGGATTTGAAGAACATTGATGTGAAAGTAGAAGATGAGGATCAAGCACTTCTGCTACTTTTTTCTTTATTGAAGTTTTATGAGAACCTGATACAAACATTGATGCTTGTACAAGTTTTATGAGAACCCGGTACAAACATTGATGCTTGTAGAAGTTTTATGAGAACCTGGTATAAACATTAATGCTTGTAGGTGACAATTTGAAGATAGATGAGACTAGAATGGCGCTTCTAGCGGATGATCTTCGAAAAATTATAACTAGTGACATGGCTACTAGTGGTAACAAAGAGAAAGCATAGGGATTATTTGTAAGAGGAAGGGGCAATGAGCGAGGAAAAGACAAAGGATGAAAGTTTGTAAAACAGTGGGGCTTGGACAGGAGATGCAGCGGTTGGAACTGATGGAAGTGGTAGAGACCCATGTGAGCACACTCGATTATGACATAGGTGGCTTGGGCACATGTCAGAAAAGGATCTAGATCTGCTTGGTAAGGAAGGTTTGCTAAAGAACATGAAGAAACCTTACATGAATTTCTGCAGGGATTGTGTGTAAGAAAAGGCGCACAGGGTTCAGATCCTGAAAAGCAAGCACAAGAGTAGAGGTATATTAGACTATGTGCATGCAGATGTTTGGGGTCCGGCTCCGACAACTTTCAAGAACGGTTCCAGGTATTTTATCTCGTTTATAGATGATCATTCCAGGTATGCTTGGGTTTATTTTTTTAAGCATAAGAATGAGGTATTCGAGACATTCAAGAAGTAAAAAGCAATGATTGAGAACAAAACAGACAGGAAATTAAAAATATTGAGATCTAATAACGGTACAGAGCATACAGATAGTGCTTTTAAGAAGTTCTGTGTTCATGAGGGTATTGCTCGACACCGGACAGTCAGGACTACACCACAGCAGAATAGAATCACGGAGAGACTGAACTGTATATTACGGGAGAAAACAATGAGTATGCGATCATATGCTGGTTTGGGCAAAGAATGGTGGGCAGAAGTGATTGCTACAGCTTGTTACATAATGAATCGTTCTCCACATTCGACATTGGATGGTGATGTATCCTATTGGGTATAGTCAGGGAAGCATGCAAATTACGATAGGCTCAGAATTTTCGGATGTACAGCCTACTATCACGTCAATGATGGAAAGTTTGACTCGATGGCCAAGAAGGTAATATTCTTAGGGTATGTAAATAGCGTAAAAGGTTATCGCCTTTGGTGTATAAAAAATTCCAAGTTCGTGATCAGCAGAGATGTTACATTTGATGAGAAATTCATGATAGCTTTATCAAAAGCTAGGACGTCCGAGGATGATGGTGTTGAGACTATTGGGACTTCAAAATCTCAGGTGATTGAGATAGAACGTAAAAACTAACCGAGTTCTAGTCATGTTCAAGAGGAGGATCATGGAGACACTCAGGAAAAGAGTGATGATGAGCTTGAACAGGAGGTTCATCAAGAAAATGTACAGGCACTGCAACAACAGCTCGAAGAAAGTTTAGCTTCCACTAGGTCAAGGCGAGCTTACAAGCAGGTTTAGAAGCTGATGTCAGATCAGCCTCTGAAGCACTATGGACAGGTAAATTTGGTTGAGTACACACTCACGATGGAGGATGATGAGTCGGTCACCTTCAAAGAAGCTATTCGGGACAGAAATAGTAAGAGTTGGTTGGCTACGATGGAGGAAGAGATAGAATTTCTCCGGAAGAACCAAACATGAGAGGTAATCTCATTGTCCGTAGGAAGAAAAGCTATTGGTTGTAAGTGGATGACTGGATGTACAAAAGAAAGGAGGAGCCTTCCGAGCTTGACGGTACAATGCTAGACTAGTGGCTAAGGGATTTGCACAAAAAGAGGGTGTGGATTACAATGAGATTTTTTTCTCCGGTGGTAAACACACTTCTATTCGGGTATTATTGAGTATTTTTGCTCATTGTGATCTTGAGCTGGAACAACTCGATGTTAAAACGGCCTTCTTACACGGAGACTTAGAGGAGAAAATCTATATGCATCAACCTGGAGTTATAAGGTTGAGGATAAAGAGAATCATGTATGTCGCTTGAGGAAATCACTTTATGGATTGAAACAATCTCCTCGACAGTGGTACAAGCGATTTGACTCATTCATGCTAAAGCATGGGTTCTCCAAAGCGATTATGACTGTTGTGTCTTCATTCGGAAGCTTCATGGAGGTGATTATATATATATATATATATTTGTATGTGGATAACATGTTTATTGCTTCGAGAAGCAAGATGGAGATAGATAGGTTGAAATTTTAACTTGACAAAGAGTTTGAGATGAAGGACATGAGCGCTGCTAAAAAAAATATTGGATATGGAGATTAGAAGAGAGCGGGCAAATCGACGATTGTTTTTGAGTTAGAATAGCTATATTGAGCAGGTTATCGCAAGGTTTGGGATGCAAAATGCTAAGTCAGTGACGACTCCATTGGCTCCGCATTTCAAGCTCTCGGGTAAGTAATCTCCCACTACAGCGGAAGAAAAGACATACATTAAGCGTGTACATTATGCTAGTGCAGTTGGCAGTTTGATGTATGCAATAGTGTGTACACATCCAGATATTTCACAGGCGGTCAGTGTTGTCAGTAGGTTCATGGTGAATCCGAAAAAGACACATTAGGAAGCAGTGAAATGGGTCCTGATGAACTTAAAGGGTACCACAAATACAGATTTGTGCTTTGGTGGAGAAACGTGTCAGATTGATGGGTTTGTTAACTCAGATTATGCGGGCGATCTACTACTGATTATGTGTTCAGAATACATGATGCTCTAGTTAGTTGACGATTGATGTTACAGGCTACAGTGGTACTTTCTACTACAAAGGCTGAGTACATGACCATAGCAAAGGGAGTGAAGAAAGCATTGTAGTTGTGGGGTCTTCTAGATGATTTGGGGATTAAGTAGGATTATGTGAACTTGTGGTGCGATAGTCAAAGTGTGATTCATTTGGCTAAGAATCAAGTTTATCTTGTTCGTACCAAGCATATCGATGTTAGGTATCATTTTGTGCGAGATGTCATAGACGAAGATGATATTTCTCTCATGAAGGTGCACACGAATGAGAATCCAGCAGACATATTAACCAAGGTGGTGACAGGTAGCAGGTTTCAGCATTGTTTAGACTTGCTTCATATTAGCCAGTGTTGATCTGTCCAAGAGGGTATGGCCCTTCGGGGCGATGATAGGGTGAGGTGGAGACTATAGTGGAGAATTACAGAACTACGATTAGCTTGATCCTGATCAGAGGGTACGTAGACAACCATGGTATAATAGCGCAGCTGGTTTGATGTTTCAAATCTCTCTGGTGATGTTCGCGGTATTCTTCTGATGTTCGTCCAAAATTTGAGGTTTATCAAATGATGTACGAAGTCAAAAATTGTGAACGTGTGGAGCGAGACACGTTTTGTGTCTCGCGAGGGCTTCACACAATTGTGTGCCTCAGCACCTCCCAAACCCGAGACACACTATGTGTCTCGCGCGGGCTCCGAGACAGCCGACGGGAATTTTCAGGATGGGGTTTTTAGGGAATGTTTCGGGTCTAATTCTTTGCGTATAAATAGGAACTCGTTCCTAGGGTTTTTCCATAGGGTTTGCCGGTTGCTTAGAGAAGAAAAAGTAGAGAGTTTTTCAGATCTAAAGGTGAGATCTTGAGGAGAGAAAAAGAGAGAACTTGGAGGGATTGTACAAGAAAGAGATCATCTTTCTTGGGTAAAATCGAAGTCTCATCTCTTTGGGACCAGCTTGTGGGTTATACAAGTCATCGGTATTCTCCATCATATTGGAATCTCCCTTCACCCCTCCCCGTAGACGTAGATAAGTTTGCTGAACCACGTAAATCTTGTGTCTCACTTATTGTATTGGTTATTGCTTGTTGGTTGGTTCCCTCTATATTCAGACCTAGATCTGATATTGGGAAGAGTGTATATCTCACATTGCTGAGATATTCACTTCTGTTCTTGTTTTTCGTTATCGAAACAGTAACATCGAGATTGGCTTGTGTTTTGTGAAAACAAAAGCCAGAGCTTTCTCTCAAGGTGATTCGCTTCCGCGACAAGGTGGGTGTATCGTCACCCAACAGAAAAGCTAGTGTTTTGATTTTAAAACCAAAATTTCATGGCTTATGCATACTATAAGTAAAATTAAAAATGCAATTCTTCAAAACAGAATTCATATACATGTACATTGCGCTCAGGTAGTACACATAATTTATGATAAAATAGGAAACTGGGATTGGGGAAAAAACATCATGGAATACTTATAGCATACCTCTCCTGGATGTATGATAGTCTTGTACTTTTTCACAAAGGGAGAACGTGATTCTTCATTGAACTGCAAGGCGTTACAACAAACTACTATATAATCATAAAGATATTGACATTCTATCTGGAAAAATATACATTGATAATGAGATGGAAAACTGTTAGTGTAGTTTCAAAGTTATAGGCATAAATCAAAAATGTTAAAAATAAAAAGAAAAAAGTTAAAAATACACAACTCCAAGAAGTTGTTGCGCATTAATATTTATAGGTGCGGCATCAAAAACTGAATTTAAATTTGGGATAAAAACTTTGTTGTTGTTGTAGTTGTCATTGTCATTACATCTAAAACTCAATTTCAAAAAATTAATTAAATTCGCAAAAGTACCAAAATGTATTATCTATCACAAATGACAATATGAGTAAAATAAAGTTATTCAGAATAAAGAAAAAACTTACATATCTTCTGCCAAGTTTCATATAGAAACCCTTCTGAAACCAAAACGAAATACCTTGAATCATTTATTTTCAGCACACACTCATGCAACATGCAACGTCTTAGATCTAAATGATGATGGGATCAAAAGAAAAAAAACAGAGCCTGGTGTACACTGCCTCGTGTAAACATGTATAGATAATTTAAACAACTTCGATTAAAATAATTTAACCAACTAAACATCAAGAAATTTCAGAATTGAACCTAAGGATGAGACTATAAAATATTAGTCATCACTTGCTTAATGCACAAAAAGTTAAACCAAATGGAAGTTACCAATAAAAAAGTACATAAACAAGAGGTCATTATTCCCAAAAAATGCAACATCAAAACAATAAAGGCACATAAGAATTCCGATTAATCCAACTATATATAACTTGAATTGAATTCAGCAGGCGTCAACAATGAACCAGAGTGTTATTGATAAAATATAAAGAAAGAATTAAGTCTGCATGTGCCCTAGAGCAAATCGCTTAATAGGTTCATGATCTATATGATACCTCGAGTACATGAAGCACTCCAAAAGAAGTGAGATTGCAAAATAATCAATAAAAGACATCTAGAAACCTGGGATATATGCTCCGCAGCTGCAACCCTTGGCTTAACCACTTCAATGTTTGCTATGACAAGAGTATTCGGAACTGAGCCATCAGTCTGGAAAAAAGTATATTAATCAGATCATGGAACCAGTGATACAATCGCAATCAGCAAGTTATAAATTTAATACAGAATTAGTGAACAGTGAACACTGAGCAGAATCATAAGGACTGCATCATTTTTCAGCAGTTAATGTGTAAACTATTCACAATAAAGATAAGCAAAATATTATGCACAGAACCATAGAATATCCAAACTAAAATACTATATTAAGCATGAGACAATAAATAAACAAAAAAAACCATGTAAATTGTCTATTCCAGGAGCAGCCAAGCAGCAGTTACAACCACAGTTTAGAACCTCATGTCCCCAAAGTTTGAGCACAAGAGCCCAAAAGCTTCAAAACCACCGCCCACATGGTGAAAGACTTCAATGGCCATGTCTTTATTAAGCTAACCAGTACTTGCCTGCTCGGAAAGGTAGAGACGTTGACGGTTCTTGTATGTTGCTTTCTCTAGTTGTGGACCCCACCTTTTTGCAGAGAACAAAGACGAAATCAGCATTTGGTAACATCTAGAATCAGAAGACCTTGGCATCTACTATAGGAGCAGCATGCATAACAAATGATATCATATGAAAAATCATACCATTAAGAAGAAGGCTTCAATTTAATTCCATGAACTGTGAGAAAACACTGTGGGGGGGAATTCTTCAAACCAAGTGAAAAAGCAAGTCACCAGGTCCGCAACTACCATTTACAACCAAATTTATATCAAACCAAATAATTGTGAAGTTCCATTTAGTATACAGCTTCCACGAACGAAGCAATTAGGAACCTGACTATTGTTTTCTAGTTCGCTATGCCGCTTTACGATAAATTATTAAACTGCTGTTTTTTCAACAAATTGTATCTACGTAGCTCTACCTTCCTACAAAATTGACCCAAGATCATGTGGCAAGGTAATTTTTTACCTTGCACTTACATTTGCATATGAACATCACCTCAAAAGCCATACGGCGGGAATCAACTTTTTCCGAGCTTTCCCAACTTTTAAGTCCTGCTATACGCCTTCATGATGATATAGGCGGGTACTTCAAGTTATAACTTTGGGGTTTTTTTTATAGACCCTAATTTGTACAGTGATTTATTTTTAAACCCACACACTTCCTAAATCATTCTTAAAATCTAAATACAGACGAATTTTCCCCCAAAACCCACAGTCGATTTTTTCCTGAGCGATTCGCTTTGGTACGTCCAAAAAAAAACCCTAATGCGGTACAAACGTAGAAACCCTAGAAGAAGGAGAGAGCGGTGTAGTGTACCTGCAGGAGAGCGAGGGCCAGACTAGGTTATGGTTGGCGAGCCAATCGTAGAGCACCGGAACCAGAGACTTCCACTGAGTGTACCTCTCGTCTACGCTCGGCTTCTCTGGTTTCGCTCTATCTTTCATTTTCTTCAACTCTCTCTCTCTCTCTTCCTCTTGGAGATCTCTCCTCACTCGCCTTTCTCTCTCCTCTCTTTTTCGATTTTCCCGCCCTTCGGAAAAAGACGATGATCGTACCAGGTAAAAGGAAAAAGGAATCGAGGGCTTCTATTGGGCCGGTCGGTTCTGGGAATGGGCCACTAATTTACTCAGGAAGTCTGTGGGGTTTTTACATACTAGCCCCTCGTATCTTTTAAATTGCTATTAACGCCCAATTGGAAACTATCTCCTCGGTTTAAAAAAGACGATGCTCTTCGATTTAACAACCGTCTCCTCGATCATTTGACGAATATGGAAATGAATTTTATCAGCTCTTACTCAGAAAGAGAAGAAAACAAATTAGGAAACGAAAAGCTCCGAAAAGTAACTATTGATCAGGTTTTTTGTTTCTCTGAAACGCTGTTAGGTATAGCTCATTGCAACCTCTTGCGAGAGTGAGTTTCTCATCTAAGAAATTTGTGAGAGAAGGACAACCCATCGTCTATATTGTTTCTTTATTAAGGAAATTTGTGAGAGAAGGACAACCCATCGTCTTATAATGAAAAGTAATCGTTTGACATCATCTGGAATTAGTTGCGGAGTCATGAGTTCATAGTACTGCTGTCGCCATATGTATAAATAGATATTGTTAGGGATTATCAGAGATATATATAAATAGACGCTATAACTACTTTTTCTCATATTTCAGGAACTCTAATGAGATATAAGAGATATATTTAACTAAGTGAAATTATAATTAATCCCTACGTGTCACCATGCATGTCTTAAAATTATTGCATAATTGACTCATTCGAAATACAACTAAATAGATCTTTTCCTTGTCAATGTAAAAAATATCTAAGTTGCTACCATCTAATAGAGATTACAGGTTTGGAGTCATTGGCCAACCATTTTTGTATGATACCATTGGTAGCGCGAATCAAGTTGAGAGCTCATAGCAGAAATAACCTTCTGACGACGGGAATTTGGACCTCAAAAGCTTTACAACATTATATCATAAATTTCCTTAAAATCCGAAGGGAATGTAAACACATTCACCAGTTTGTAACATCCAAACGCAGAGTAGTACTAACATCAAATTTACTCGAGTTTCAAGCTTAATGATTCATGCTGACATATATTAGGCTTTCCTTTTGCAGAAGCCATGAACAATATGCTCAGATTGAACCGCAATAGACAATATTGTTACTGAATAAGAGACAAGTAGTCCGATTCCACATTCACTTAGTAGAATGTTAATTTCATGAACCTCATTTAACTCTAAACGTGCAGATTTCCTTGTGGAACGTTGACATCTTCTAATTGCAAAACAAGGAAATCAAGAGGAGAGAGAGGAAACAAATGGTTATACATAAGAACTATTTCGACTTGTGAGCGTAAATAATGAGGCAGGTAGCACCCTTTAGATCGTGTTTTCGAGCTTGCTCCAATGAGTTTGTTTCTTCTCTTTTTGCTTGAATATATCTCGGTGCTGTAGAAATCAAGATCAGCGTGAAATCAAAGTTTTACAGTCTTAGACTTCAGAAATTAATTTCTAAGAACAATATGTGTGTGTGTCCCAAGTTCAGTCTCTTTGCAAATGTTTATATAACATTAAGATATAAAATTTATACGATGTTGTAAAATGGTTAACATCCGAAAATGATCCTAAATATGTATACGCGTTAAACAGCCATGACAACCAAATTTCATACGTATATACAACTTGTTGGAGTTATAATAAAGTGTAACTTAAAACTTCACATTGTAGTGGGGAAGTTTAGTCCCACATAGGAAATGGAATAGGAAGGAAGGGTGTTTATAAGCCTTTCTCTTCTCTCTTATGCTTAGAACAAAACAAAGGTTATGCTCCATACCACACACGCGCGTGATGGCTGGGCCGGGCTCGGGTTCGGATCGGGTGGCGCATGACGAATGTAGCTTCGGATTGAGGAGCTCTTAACCTGCTACATTTTTATTTTTTGTTAATTGAGCTCTTAATCATTTGGCTGCGAAAATGAAAACGGTTAGCTAAATAAATGGGCAGGATTTATGGACTTAAATAACAAAGTGGCTAGCGGATTTATGAATAACGGTTATTTTTTCCTATAAAAGGAGCTAAACCTACAAGAGTTTAAGCACGGTGAAAAACACTTTCTCTCCTCTTCTCTGTTCTTCATCTTCGTGTTCTTGCTGTTAAATCATTGTTGGTTCCCTAAAAGTCGAGAAGAATTCGCAAAGCCTTCTTGAAGCTCGTGCCGACGAGAAGGAGGTCGCCTGACCGAGGGTCGTTGTATCTCGGAGAACTTTTGCCGCGTAGCCCACGGATGCAGCTTCGGATTGAGGGGCTCTTAACCTGCTATATTTTTATTTTTTGCTAATTGAGCTCTTAATCATTTGGCTGCGAAAATGAAAACGGTTAGCTAAATAAATGGGCGGGATTTATGGACTTAAATAACAAAGCGGCTAGCGGATTTATGAATAACAGTTGTTTTTCCCCTATAAAAGGACCTAAACCTGCAAGAGTTTAAGCACGGTGAAAAACATTTTCTCTCCTCTTCTCTGTTCTTCATCTTCGTGTTCTTGCTGTTAAATCATTGTTGGTTCCCTGAAAGTCGAGAAGAATTCGCAAAGCCTTCTTGAAGCTCGTGTCGACGAGAAGGAGGTCGTCTGACCGAGGGTCGTTATATCTCCGAGAACTTTTATCGCGTAGCCATGTGCGAGAGGGGGCAATTAGATTCTTGGAATAGTGCCTTGCACGTCTCGACCATCCGGCCGTGTTTCTAATCTTTTTATATTTTTCTTTACAATTAATTTCATTTCTGTGTTAAAATATTAATCTGCTTTTATCTTATATTAATTTTTTGTTTAAAACATAATTTCGTGTTAATTATTGTCTAAACAGCTAATATTCCCAACACAACTAATATGGTGTAAATTTTAAACTTAAATCTAAATCCACGTACCCAAGAACTCAAGGTTATGGATCTGCAACAAGTTTGTACATATCCAATCTTAAGTAGCCGACTGAATAAGAATCACAGGGCAAAAAAAAGCTTTAAATATATAATTACCGAGACTTCAGGAAGAGAACTATGATAATTATGTAGACTAGCAAAAATGCAAGTGAATATAATCATTAATATATAGCCAACCAATATCTTGAGAAATGACGCATAATGTACAAAACCAAAAGGAGGGCTGTAACCCTAATTCTGACATGCAATAGTAAGATCCAACAGCAAGATCTAGATCCACAACCTTCGACGCCATCTCGCCCACCTCCTCCTCATCACCGATTGCCAACGCATGCGTCACATTGAACATATCAATAAGCGGCTTCACGCCGTCTTCCTGTTGCTGAGCGTTCACATTGAACATCGACTGTGGCACCTCCATCATGTCCATCTCATTAATAGCAGCATTTCCATTCATGCACGTGATCAACATTGTTGGTCTCGGGTGTGGAGACTCAAACCTGAAATCAAATAAACGAAGAAAACATGAAAAACGTTGGTCGGTCGACCGACGGACCTGGTCCGATCGACCGCAACACCTGCAGGAAAACGGGCAGAAATCAAAGCTCTGGTCGGTCAACCGAGGGCCTTGATCCGGTCGACCAAAAACATGCACCAAAACCCTGTAGAAATTGACATTATGGGCGGTCGATCAAAGCACATGACCCGGTCGACCGGAAACGAGATTTCCAGTTTCCTAAACTGTTTGGGAAACTGTTTTAGGCTGGGATCCTACATATACCTAAATGATTTTAGGGTTATGTGAGAACATGAGAAAAAGAGGGTTTTGAGAGGATTCTTTCAGAGAGATCTCAGAGAGATAAAAACCTATTTGTGGGTATTGTAATCTTCTTCAAATTAATCAAAAGAATCGTGTGGTGTGGCTCCCGAGGACGTAGGCGCGTTATCGAATCTCGTTAAATTTGGTGTGTTCCTTCTTGTTTATCTTTCCTGTAATTTTTTCTTTTATTTGCGGTGATTTTCCTACTTCCTAAACTCTTAGTACAAGATCCGGAAGGGCATGGGTTCGATTGATTATTCTGAATCCCCAACAACTGGTATCAGAGCTTTGTTAAGAAAAATTGTGCGAGAGTCATGGAAGAGGAAATTAAATCAAAGATCGAGAAGTTTGACGGGTTAGACTTCGCCTACTGGAAGTCACAGATGGAGGACTATATGTACCAGAATGACCTTTACCGTCCATTGATGGGCAAGGCTAAAGGAAAGAAGAAGAAGGAATCAGACCAGGACTGTGAAATATTGGATCGGAAGGCTCTAGGGAAGATCCGATTGTCGCTCGTCAAATCAATCATCCATAATATATTGAAGGAGCAGATGACAGTGAGGCTTATGGAAGCACTCGCAAAAATATACGAGTAACCGTCAGCCACAAACAATGTGCATCTCGTCAAAGTGCTCTTCAACCTTAAGATGGTAGAAGGATGATCCTTCACGATGCACCTCAGCAAGTTCAACATGATTGTTGATCAACTTATTTCTGTGGACATCACGTTTGATGATAAAGTGAAGGCTCTATTGATTCTATCGTAGTTGTCAGATAGTTGGGCAGGTTACGTGACCGCAATTAGCAACTCGACGGGGAAGAAGAAGTTGAAGTTGAGCGAGGTTGTTAAAATAATTCTATTCGAGGAGGTTAAAAGGAAATCATCCGAATCAGAAGGTTCAGGTTCAGCCCTAAATCTCGAGCAGAGAGATCAAAGCCAGAAGAAGGGTAACCAGAACAAGAATCAGTCCAAGTCAAAGAAGAAGAGGTCGAACTCGAAGGTTAGGCCTATCAAAAAAAATGTTGGAACTGCGTCCAGGAGGGCCTATAGATTGTCTAAAAAATCACTACAGATAGCTTATCCCAATCAAACACCGATGATGGAAGTTACAGTCAGACGACTTTCAGAATGTTACAATTTGAAGATTTTTACGTAGATCGATGAAGGTTACAATCTGACGACCTTCATAACAACTGATGAAAGCTCTAATCAACAGGCTTCACAATCAATATCGGGAGCTACAATCTGACAACTCTCGTATTTTTAAGGAGCTAAGACGAAGGTTACAAGATGATGATCTTTGCAACGCTCTAGCAAAAGAGACTACAAATCGACGGTCTCTTCAAAATCCAGACGTAGAGCTCACCTCTGCGTCCCAGATTCAAAACGAATAGTTCGTGGCCATGTTCCAGACTCCTAGAAGAAAAACGCAGAGGTCCTCCCTGCGTTACAACCTCAAAACGCAGAGGTCATGCCCGTATTTCAGAGTCAAAACGCAGAGATCATCCCCAGCGCTCCAATTAAAAACCCAGAGTTCGTGGACTCAAAACGCAGAGTTTCTCTGCGTCCCAACTCTGCATTTCAGATTTACAAAGTTGTGCAAACACTGCGTTTTCAGCCAAAAACAGGCCAAACTCTGCGTTTTAAGTCTAAAACGCAGAGTTCGAACCCAGAACGCCCAGACTGGCGCTTGACTAGTTCAAAACACGAACTGAACGGTTTCAAAACCGTTTTCCCCATGATTTGAGGAGCAGATTAAGGGGGCAGTTACACCCCATTCAGCCCCACTTAGAAGTGAATTAAGGGGGCGGTTATACCCCTTAATCCCTTATAAATAGGAGTAAACTCAACTGAGTTCGGACCTTTTTTTCGTCATTCGACTTGGCAACTAAGAAGAGATCTTTGGCTGGCTTTTAAGGGGAATTGCTAGAGCTTTTGAGATCAACAACAGAAGCTTTCTTCATACTTGGCTTACAAACCGATTTTTAGTTAAACCAATCAACTCTTTCATAGAGTTATAACTTGCTCAGAGTTTCCTAACTCATTAAGAGTTTCCTAACTCATTAAGAGTTTCAAACTTGCTCTGCTAGTTCTTCTAAACTCGTTCAGAGTTCTAAAACTGGCTTTGTAAGTTCTCCACAGCATCAAATCGTGAGGAGGAGATACCGTTCTAGTGAATCAAGACGTTCGAATCGTCAACGGAGAGTAAACTCGACGTGAGCATTCGAGGGAGGCACTCCATCGCCACCGTGAAGAACCCAGACTTAAAGAAAGGGGGGTATTCAGATCAATTCTCTTCTCTTTTGTAATCAGAAAATCTAAATTGTAATTGAGATTTAAGAGAGTTGTAAACATTCTTTTTCTAAGCAGTTAGAGAGAATAAAATCAAACATAGTTCTTTTATTTTCATTTCACAAATTTTCCACCAAACAGGGCTATATGTCTTTAGTCTGCAAAGCGCCAAAGAAAGGTGCGAACGAGCAGGAGGCTCACATTGTGCAAGATACCTTGATCCTTTCTATGGATAACAATTCCGATTCTTGGGTTATTGACTCAGGAGCCTCATTCCACACTACTGTTAATAGGAAGCTTCTTCAGAACTATGTAGTAGGAAACTTTAGGAAAGTGTACTTGGGGGACAATGAGCCTTATAATATTGTTAGAAGAGGCGACGTGCAGATTCAGATGAAGGGCTCTAAGTGGAATTTGAAGAATGTTAGACACATACCAAAGCTGAAGATGAATCTTATTTTAGTTGGCCAGCTTGGAGCAGAAAGCTATGTTTCAACATGTTAGATCCTTTTTTATGATGATTTACAAACACCATTATTGGTGCTAATTGTTTATTGAGTTATATTATAGATCACATATCATTAGCACCTTATATGAAGGGTTGGATGGAAAATGAGCTATAACGACAATATCCAAGGAGGTGGAGGCAAAGTAACGAAGCAGTGCTTTCAAGAGCACCATATGCAGAAGAAGCTTCATCTACTCAAGAGTAAATATCAAGACTCAAGTCATGTATTTCTATGTGAGGGATATTTATTATTTTATTTTTCTCTCTAGTACTTAATGTAGGCAAGTAGTTTGTTGATTACATTTGAAGCTCATGGGATATCACACTTTCAAAAATCGTATTTTGGTACTTTTGCTAAAACGATGATTTTCACACATACGAGGATCTTTTTACAAGATTCCTTTTCAAACAAGTTTATCAAAATGTTTATAAACTATTTCCAAAGTTTTACATCTTTTGGAGTTTATTTACTATTTTTAACAGAGCCTTGAAACTCAATTTCAAAATCGATTCAGGCTGATAACCTGTTATCAGTCGACTGATGACACCAGTCGACTGATGTGTCGACTGATGAAACTGCATGCAATCGTCAAAAGTTTATGTTCTGTTTTGATCGACTGACGAGTTGTCAGTCGACAGCTCATCAGTCGACTGATGATTTCTGTCAGTCGACTGATAAGCAGTCTAACATGTAGTTTTTCTCAGAATCTGTTTCTCGATTTTTGGGGGATTTTCACTAGTTCTTTGGAGTTTTGGCTGTTGTTTTCTCTTCCTATAAATACCCAACAATCCCAACTACTTCAGCAACCAAGCTTTCATTGCAAATCTCTTGTGTTTGAGTTTATTGTTTTCAAAGAGCTTCAACTTTCATTTGCTTTCACTATTTCAAAGCCCACATCCCAAGCTTCAATTGCAATCTTATCTCTTGTTATAGGGCGACTGTAAAGAGAGAGTTTTTCTTCGATTATCTACTATTGTGAGTTTGATCTCATGGAGATCTATTGTGTGGTTGTGAGATCTCGATGGAGATCGTTATGTAGAAGAAGTTTCGGTTTCCAAACCGGGTGTGTAGTGGATTTTTCCTCGAGAGTGGGGAGCGGGGACATAGGTCAGCGGACCGAACCTCGTGAATATACCGCGTGTTATCAATTGGCTAACTATCTCTATCCCTACTCTCTTTTATTGTCATTACATTTTATATTTGTGTGTGGTTTGTTTGAATATCTTTAATTGCATATTATTTGTCCATAAACCCTATTCACTCCCCCCCCCCCCCCCTTCAATTTGGAACCCCTTTTCCCCCCCCCCCCCCCCCTTCTAGGGCCTTTCAATTGGCATCAGAACAAGGTCTCTAGTATTTGTTAGACCTAAACCCCTTAGAGAAAAGATCATTATGGAGACTTCTATGAATATGCATATGCTAGAATGACAATCCACCACTAGACCACCCCTTTTCACATGTAGCAACTTTGTCTATTGGAAATCTATGATGATAATTTATTTATAATTCATTGACCTTGATATCCTAGACATTGTGGAGAAAAAATATGTCAAGAAGCTTAGTAGTGAAACGACAGAGGATGAGAGGAAACTAGCTAACCTTAACAATAAAGCCATGAATGTACTAATTTGTGGTCTTACCCCCAATGAATATAAGAGAGTTTCTACATGTGCAACCGTACACGAAATTTGGGAGAAGTTATGCATTACCCATGAGGGAATACCCCAAGTGAAAGAGTCTAAGATTAGTGGACTCATGCATGATTATGTATTTAAAATGCTTCAAGTGAATCTATTGACTCCATGTTTTCTCAGTTCACAAATATTATAAATGAATTGCATGGTATTGACAAGGTCTTGGAGAATCAAGAGATATGCTATAAAATTCTTCGCTCTTTGACGCCGGTCATGAAGTTTTATAGTTTTTTTCGTCAAAGCCGACCCAATTTTAGCCCGACGGCTAAAACTAGGTCGGTTTTGAGAATTATTTTTAGAATAGGTCGTTTTTTGCGATTTTTTGTAAATGAGATGGTTTTCAAAATTTATCCTATAATCAAATGAAAGTGCTAAATAACAACCAAACTATATAGAAAAAAGATAAAAATACCATGGCGATGGCTATGAAGTCTCATATAATCATATAACAAAAATAAAAATAAAAAACCTGAACCATATAATCACATCTTCATCTCATACATGGCGGCGGTAGTGGAGATTCGATGCAAGGCGGTGGTGGCAATGGGGAAGTGGGAGGAGGCAGCGGTGAAGAGATTGACAATGGCATGATGCATGGGATAGCGATAATTTTTGGGGGGTGGATTGGGGGGGGGGGGGTGCAGTGAATTTAGTGAAGGAGGTGGCAGAAAAGAGCGGCGATGAGCACAAAGATGGGCAATTTGGGCGGCCAACTAAGGATAATGTAATTACGTGTGCGCAGTGAGGGAAAAGCTAGTAATGCGGCCATAGATTCGACGACAACGCATAGTCCCCCGCCCATTATACAGAGAAAAACATCTACCTTTAATTTTTAAAAAATGGAGATAGCAGGAAAGAAGGAATGATGTTTTTTTGGGTTATTGTGGCAGAGGTGGGGGGGGGGCGGGAGGGGGGTGTTCCAGCCAAACTTGATTTTGAGGGTTGTTGACTTAATCTTGGTGGGTGGGTGAATTTGTTTTTTGATTTTGGGGGCTAAAACCATTTTCCTCTTCTACAAATTAAGTTAAAAACTAAGAAGAGGCTGATTAAATAGATGTCAATGTTTACTGTGAAGCTGTCAGATTACAAACCCATTTATAATATTGCTTCACGATTAAAAATAGTTATTAACTAAACAGAGTTTAAAAAAGAAAGAGAGAAGCATTAGTATTAATCTGTCCTACAAAGAACACTTTAAAAATTGTCTTCTAATATAATTCTCTCATCAAATTAACGATTTTGACTATTCACCGCTTATATAATGGATGTTAGTCACTAATCAAGTTGAGAGCTCGAAACAGAACTGACCTGATAAAAAGTGATTGGAGCTCGAAAAATTAAACAGAATTTCTAAATTAAGTGAGGAGAGCACATTCACTGATTCACCAATTAAGTAACAAGTAGCATCCATCATCAATACTCAAACTTGCATGTAGATTATTGAGCTTTCCTTTTTCAGTGATTTCTCGCATAACTGCAATTTGCTAAGACCTGAACAGCATGCTCAAAATGAATAACAAACTTGATTAATTATTACTTAATAAGAGACAAGTAGTCCCCTTCCGCAATCATTTATTAGAATCATCAGAACAACTGAATCTCGTTAACTCAGGACATGCAATTTTCCTACTGATAAATTGCAAAAAAAAAACTTTAATTACAAAATGAAGAAATTAAAGGAGAAAAAGGAAGGAAATGATTATACATAAGAGCTGTTTCGGCTTGTGAGTGTAAATAATGAGGCAGCACCCTTTAAATCGTGTTCTTGAACGTGCTCCATGGGATTTGTTTCTTCCCTTTTTGCCTGAATCTCAGGGCTGCGAATATAAAGGTCAGCACAAAATCGAAGCTTCACACTTGCAAGCGACGTTAAAATTGAATTGTCCGAAAAAATGTCAGCATAAAATCAATGTTCCATACTCTTAGAACACTTCAATATATTTTAGTCTCTTTGCAAAAGGATGGTTTAACATTAGAAAGTGATCCTAAACATGTATATTGAAGTGTGGGGGATTTTAAAACTTAAATCTGAAGTTATTAAGCTTTCCAGATACTATATTCACCCAAGACCTGATGTTAATCAATCATGCACCATTTAATTTATATCACAATCTCTTTAACAGAGCTGAATAAGGATCATGACATGAACTGAGCAAGTCATAGAAGTTAAAAAATCTTTAATTAATGATACTTTCAGAGAAAAAGGAAAAAAAAACTATGATACATAGATAAACTATGTTGGTGAAAAGATTTAAATTTAAATGCGGTGATCAACAGTGTACATAGACGAAGGTGAGATGTAGGTAGCTGAAGCTTTATTTGTTTGTGCATGTGACATATCTGGATGAAAAGGACTGTGCTGTTTCTTACACATGAAACAAAGTATATCATAACGACATTATACTTAAGTAATTAGTCTGCAATTGTGAGCAGATGCTATTTCGAAATCCAATGTATCCTGATCATTCTTGCATATATAACAACAATGTGAACATTCGAAAAAAGCGTGACCACTTGTAATCACAGTGGAAAACTTCCAAAAGGCATCAAGATACACAAAAATAATCAGGTCTGTTGTTATTTAATCTATGCATTGACTACACTAAAACTAAAATGTAAGTGAATCTAATCATTAATTAGCAAATTTCTTGAAAGACTTTACTAATATAACGTGACCCTGTCCTGATTATGTTTTTCTTTTTTTTCAAATCTTTATCGACCTAACAGCTGTACTCCGAATGGATCAATTAGAAATCAAATAGCTTTCAAAAGTAACACGCGTGTAACATTCAAAACCGAATGAAAATTATGCCTCAACACTAGTTCTGACCTGCAATGGTAAGATCCAAGATCAAGATCCGCCGCCTTCGACGTGATCTCTCCCACTTCCTCCTCATCTCCGATCGCCAACGCGTTCGTCACATCAAACAGATCGATTAGCGGTTTTACATCGTCCTCCTGCTGTTGCGCATTCAGACTGAACATCGACTGTGTCACTTTCATGTCCATCTCATTAGTAGCAGCATTACCAGCATTCATCCCGATATTGTTATTATTCACACTATTACTACTTATCGCCGCATTGTCATTATTGTTATGAATATTTATATTAATATGATCCTCGTTCTCAATATTATTCTCTCCTGCTCCGCTCCCGTTGTTACCGAAATAGAAATAATCCAAGTATTGCTGTTGTTGCTGCTGTTGCGCAATCATCATATTATTTCCATAAATTGCATCATCAGGATTCACGGCATTGATCTGATCGGCATCGCTCAGGATTGGCGGTTGATCCTGCGACAC